TTATTTATTATTTTCAGATGGATGTTGGTAAAGTGAGAATTGTTCACAGTGGCTTTTGGGATGGTGATGTATACAAAATGGTGAGACAGAGATGAATTTTTTCTGTCTTAGGACCTCATCATATGAAGCTTTCATAAACAGAGTTCATGACATTGCTCGTGGAGATAGAAACTTGTGTGACTACCGATTTCACTTTTTAGTGGCCGGTGATAAAGGAGAGGTGGAGAAATGGCGTATCTCTTGTGAAGCAGATCTGCAAAATGTGTCTTCCATGTTCACAATACCTACTATCTATGTTACACTACAACCGAAAGATAGTCCAGGTCCGTATAATCAGGCAAGTGTACCAACGTACCCTTCGTATGGCTATACCGGGGGTCAAGGTGGGTTTATGAATTTAGTTGCTGCTCAGGGCCCACCTCTCTATCCATATGGTGTTGTGTATCCACCTATAATGAACTTACATAGTCAACCATCAATATCTTATCCGACGAACAATTACAACCCGGTGCCCGACACCACCAGAAAGATGGACTCAAATCAACCCGGTGCCTCACGTCAATCTCCCGAACATGTCGATTGGGGTGTGGATAGCGGGTTGAATGGGGATTCAACTGGGAATGATGAAAGTGATGATGACGGGCATTATTGTGATGCTTACAATAATGAGATGAACATCAACGATAATCCTTGCAATGACGATTTATTGAATGAGATGGATGATAGCAATGACGATTCGGATTTCATTATTGAAGAAGATGATATGCTTGGCTCGGAAGAAGGTGAAGATGGTGACGACAATGTTGTGTCCCCCTCAAACATGATGGGTGGTTTAAATGAGCATATTCTACGCAACAAAAAGAGTATATCAATCCACAATGTTCCTCAGCTTGATTTTTCTGGAGGTGTTGCTATTGAAGAAGACAATTTGAATGAAACTACTACTCGTTCGAGTAGTGGTTGGAGGATTCCCGAAGCCATTTTTCACAATGTTGATGTTCATCCCTCGTCTGAAGAGCCATCAATGATAGACCGTGAATTAGCCAAAGGCGTTGTCATTCAAAGTAAGGAAGATTTGTTGGTAAAAATTGGGTTATACCATTTGAAGCATAAAGTGGAGTACCGAACACCTAGATCTTCAAATTCTTGGTTCAAGGTTGTGTGCAAGCATAAAAACTGCCCATTCTTGCTTTCTGCGAATGCACTGACTGGAAGTAGTTGGAAAATTTCAAAATTTATTCATCCACATACATGCTTGGTTAACCTGAGTCATTCAGCCCCTCGACAATTGCCTGCAAAGATCATTGGAGCATTATTCGCGCCGAAGTTGTTGATAGAGGGCCGAGTATTGAAGCCTGCAGAAATTATGGGTGACATGGAGCGTGATCATGGCATTAAGCTCAACTACAATACAGCTTTGAGTCTCAAAACGCCGCATACGACTTCATTTATGGAGATCACAAAAAGTCCTGGGAACTTTTGCCGGCGTATTTTCATATGTCGATGAAGGAAAATCCTGGAACATCGGCATACATTGAGACTGATAAAGATGACGTGTTTGAGTATGCTTTCATTTCTTTTCATGTGTCTGCAGGCTTCCTCAGTTATTGTTGGCCCGTTATTATTCTATATTGATGATAACAATACTTACAAATAGAGTTGCGTCCTGGATGTTAATAGCTGAACCAGGACCTGTTGCCTTTACTTTCACTTTGTTATACAACCTTCCGGCAATTACCTCAAGATATGGATTTGATATGGGATATTATACCCACAAGGCTGAGCCGGTCTCCTGACCGGTCGAGGAGGTCGTATTATGAGGAAGCCAAAGAAATCGAACAGTCAACAAGTCGACCGAGCAAGACTGTCGACTAAACTATCCTTCGACCAGATGCATGATCGAGCAACCTATTCGACCTCAACAGGTCGATCACTTCGAGGACTTAATACCACGCTGTTTGGCCTAGTCATAGGCGCGTGAAGGAAGCCTCTGACAGAATTCCAGGAGAATATTTACCCCATGTGTGGGAGGACACGTGTCGAGAAGGCAGTGGTGAATAGCGATAACCACTTCTGACAGCCTACCCCATGTGCAGGAGGACACGCGTCCAAAAAGGATTGGTACAGGCGATAGTGGCGACGGCTACCTCTGACACACGCGTTTGGTGTGTACGGACGGGCAGTTAGGGCAGACAGCTCATCAAATCCGGGCAGCCCTAGGTCAGGTATCTCACCCCTATATAAAGGGGGTGAGCCTTTCTTCTTCAACACGATCATTCTACTACTTACTCTTGAGAATTGATTGAATATACACTGACTTAAGCTTCGGAGGCTCTTCACCGAAAAACCCCTCCTGTGTGGGAGTTCTTTGTAGGTGCACGACGTTCAACCGGCGAGAAGGAAGGCGATTACTCAAGTTCCAGACGGTCGAGGAGTTTTGTGTTACCAGGATTAATGTGCTACAACATTAAAGTACGGGATCTTATTAAAATCAAAAAATGATGGTTGAAAATGAGCATTAAAATCCACAAAAAAAGATTAATACTTACAATATGACCAAGTTTTTTCCAAAATCCCTCAATATATTGGAAGTAGTCTCGGCCATGTAACAACTTAGGCGTCTGCTCAACGTCGATCCTAAATAAGTAATAAACCATATTTATTAATTATAAAAAAACTCTATTTTACAAAATGCAAAGATAATAAATCAATACTTACAGCGTAGCATCTTTACCCTTCATCCATTTTTTGTAGGCGCGACTCCATTTTTCCTCTTCGTCCTTCTGCAAGTAGTTCACAGAGGGTAAACTTACTTTTTCGCCCAAGAACCTCATACGTCATTGTTGTCGTGGCGCATTATCCTCATCATCATTCTCATCAATCGCCTAGGAGTTTTTTGAAGCAAAAGTATTAGTTGTAGGAGATTCTCGACAAATTCAAAAATGTAGAAACTTGCAACAAAAATTAGTTGTTGTACTCACCGCCTGCTCCACAGCCTCATGAGCAATCTGGACAATGTCAGGAGACTTATTCTCCTCATCATCCTTCTCATCAGTCGCCTAAAAGTTTTGGGAACAAAAAATATT